AAAATTTCAAAGTGACTTAATTTTACTCCTCCTCACTACCTATCTCATTTGCTTCCTAACTCTAACTCTTTTAATTTTGCTTTCTAAACTTACTACTACCTTCGTCCCATATTTATTGTCCAATTTTGAGTTTTGAAGTCTTTATTCTTCAAATTTGATCTCAAATATTTTTGTTTTTAATATATAACACTTAATGCAAAATATATGAATGGATTATGTTTTAAATGTCTTTTCATTGTTATAAGCTTTATCATGTAATTTATAACACAAATAAAAATATTTAAGGTCAAAGTAGAAAAAAAAAACTTCAAAAGTAAAAAATAAACAATAAATATGGGACGGAGGGAGTATAATTTTTTTTCCGTTTTACCTCCCAACTCCAGCATTTCACTTTTTCATTTTTTTTTCCTCCATTATTCTTACTTTTCAACCTTTAAAATGTTTCAACCCGGCATGACACAACATATTTATAAGGTTTAAACCTTAACCCGAAACCCGACACGAAAATAAACGGGTTGACACGACACGACACGATAATTAAACGGGTCGGGTTAGGGTCAAGCACTCTTAACCCGTTTAATGTCTTGACACGGCACGAACCCGACACGACACGACACGACACGTTTGCCAGGTCTATTTATCATCATGTTTCATCCTTACTCAAATTTAAATTTTTTAAAATGTTTAGGGAAAACCCTGTGAGTTTGAGAAAGTATAGGGACTATTTCTGTAAACATAATATTTTAAAGATATTTTGCGTTACCGTATAAGTTAGCCAATCACAGAACCCATTAAGATCTATACGATCTTTTCGACAAGGAAAACTAACTGCCTGTCATTTTCGTATCTCACAACAAAATCTTGACCATTAATTATTTTAAATCTGATGCTTGATATTTACTCTCATCTCACAAAGCATAAAGTTTCCGTCAGTTTATCAGAAAGTGCACGAAATAAATAAAAAAATACCGCCTTTTCGACAGTCGGTTGTTCTTTACCATTGACGATCGTTCTCATCTGCGATATAATTCAAACTGTGTGTGTGTGTGTTTGGGCGTTGGTGTGTGAGGTGAAATGGACTCCTTTTCGGCGGTAGAGGAGGCAACTTTTCAAGAGAAGCCAAAAAATTCTGTTGATAAAACGTCGGTGAAGCGGTGGCTGACCGGAGCGGAGAAAGACGAAGACGAAGAGGAGTGCGACACCGAAGCCTGGGAGACGCTGAATAAGAGTTTTAAGGAAGCGCAATCGGTGTTAGATCAGAACCGATTGTTGATTCAACAGGTGAACGAGAATCATCAGTCGAAGATTCCTGATAATTTGGTAAAAAATGTCGCGTTGATTCAGGAAATTAATGGTAATATCTCAAAGGTAAGCTCTGTTTATTCGAATCTATCTGTCAATTTCGCAAGCTTTGTTCATCAGCGACGCGTCAAGAACAAAAACGATAAGCTGGATCGCTCAGACTCGTGACTTGCGTTTTGCCTAAAAACCTATCGTATTTCGTCGCTTAGTTTCAGTAATTCTCGATCATCTTTTAATAAAATACTTTTAAGCCATCTGTGTTTACAGAATTTGGCAGTATATTACATCGTTGGAGTCAGTCTGAGTGTCTATTTCGATTGCTTTCATAACGTTCGTGCATGGGGTGTCTTTTGGATGACGTTTGTGGTTTTGTTGTGATTGATCGTATTTTGAAATGAAGATTCGAGTGCTTAACTAGTCATACCTTCATCTTTGATGATTAAGGTAGAGTGATTGCTGCAGATTGCTAATCTTATGAGGTATTTATGTTTTGTCTTGGTTGATTTGCCCTAATTGTGTTGGAGTTCTTGTTCAGACTTCAGTGAATAAATACATACTTGTTTTGTGACAGTGTTTTCCATATTGAGAAAATTTCCTCTGATGTTTCATAAAATTTAACATAATCTTGGAGTTCATGAACTACTGGTGTGGCTATAATTAATCTTGGTTTCCATAAGTAGGTATTCTATTGCTTTTATGTGTTAACTCTTGTCTGAAAGACTAACTGATTTGACACACTGTGCTCCAAATTTCTTTCTGTCATTAAGGAGGTTGCAGGGGACCTGGACTATGATGGGGATTTTGGAACACATTGATGTCATGGATCTGAATCTGATGGTAAGATTGGTTGATTCTAGGGTTCCATGTAATTTGTGAATGTTTTGATGTTGGGATTTTTTGTATATAATGTATGAACTGCATATAAGATTCAGAATTTGTGATTACAATTTATTTGCATCATCAATGGAAAGAATTTGTGTTTATGATTGTGAGTAAAGGGATACATCCACAAGTGAAATGGTTATTGATAGCTGTGTCCTAGTTAATGAGTTATGATCTTGAAAACACAAGACTTTGGTATGTAATATATAAACCTTAAGAGTCCCAAAGTTGTCACAATCTAGCTATTGGAGCAAGTTTCATCTGTTTCCTGGTTGCAACTTGTCACATCGCGGTGTTCTAAATTAAATGAAACGATTTCCGTATTGTATTTAATTTTTGTCCATTATATTGGACTAAGTCCTGTCCTTTTTATATTAGTTTGATCACAAATGATGATGTGTTTGCTAGATTGCTATTTTGTTGTTAATTAACAATTAAATCAGTTATATTATTAATTAACTAATAATTAGTTGTGAAATCATTTGTTAATTGATGTTATCTGAACAATGTTTTCATAGTAAATTGAATTACTTTTGTTTAAGATTGCATTTTGTGCATCACAACTAACTTCTTTTCTGAGTTTTTTAAGTTGTCATGTTTGACAAGTTAAAAAATAACTTATAAGTTAGTTTAAAAAAAAAAAGCTATTTAAACTAGTTTTTTTAGGAGCTTTTTTAAAAAAAGTTTCAAATATATTGTTGGTTAATTATAAATAACTAGGAAGTATCGCGGGGGTTAGGAAGTATTCCCCCTACCGTCATTGTCCCTATTTTCTGATATCATATTTCTTACGAATTTTCCAAATACAATAAAAATAGGCTACAATGAAAGATAATTTAGTTTTATCTACCTGTTGTTTGCATATCATTATCAAGCTATTAAAAGGGAGAAAACATTCATGTTGTTAACAAACTTGCAAGCTGCTGTTATCTATTACATAAACAACTAAATTAAACTAAGAAAAACAAAGAAATATGGGGAGGGACTGTTACTAATCAGGTTCATAAGCCAATCGTTCAGCCATATCATCAATCTCTGGAAGAAACTTGATAGAATGATAGTTAACCCTGCACCTTAGTCTGGATTTCTTGAGGATAAACTTACTTGTACTTTACTAATGATTCCTTGTATGGATGACGAAGCGCACAACCTACACAAGAAAACAAATATGAACATAAAAAAAGTACTTGTATTTGTTATTTTGGTATAAAATTTTAGTTTTATTTCTTCCTGTTATAAAATTGTACTTTGAAAACTCAACCTTATTATAGCAATGCAGTCCAAATACAAAGTAATTTTTCACTTCTATAATACCACTTGAAGACACCTAAACCATATATTCATTATGATAAGTGGAGTTTTCCATGAGTAATTATAGTTTTCTTATAATGCAAAGAGCTTAAATCATTTAGAGCATGTGTATACAGATCATGCCAGAATATTTGATTAGTATATACAATGGGAAAATTAAGTGCATACCAGTTTAAAAGCTGAATTTAACTTCACTAACTCAGGGTGGGAATTTTTCTTGGACATCTCCCCTGTGCTCATTGCAACTATTCATCATAAGCAATAAAAAGTCCAAATTAAAACACTTGTAGTTGGGATAAGAATTGTTCAAAGCAGAATCCTTCCACAGTTACAACAATCGACACATTCCTTTAAAAATCAAAACGAAGTTGTTAATTGATTTATCTGTGTCCATATCTGTATCTAAAAAAATAGATTTTTAGTAAATAAAAGTAATGAAAATGGGATAAATATGATTGTTGTTTGAATTCTGCTTGTCAAATGATCTCAACAGGTAATAAGTTTACCTTTGCACACTGTAAGTACAACCTCAATGCCAATTCAGGTGCTGGAACATATTAAAGTGCCTCAATTGTCTAAAACTGAACCCAAGGGTAAATCCGTAAATGTACAATACTGCTATCTTTCCATAAACCCATAGAGGTATATTTTCGTCCACCTAATGAAGCTGACAATTGTTGATCTGAACAAATGCCAACTAAGCAAAAAGGAACAAAGGAAATCAAGGAAATAAGCAGGTATATACGTATATGATGGTCTACCTAATGAATTTACATGTTTTACTAACTCTACTCTATGTATCTTTCCTAACGTCAATATATTTTGACTCTCTATTAATAGGGTTCCTGGTTAGATATATTAACTGGTGTTAAAGGGTAAAAAATGGAAATAAAGAAAGATAGAGCCAGTAAAGCAATAAGATAAAAGATTCAAATGAAATTATAGATCAAGTAGATGGAACTATACGGTAGATTACCAAGATAATAGGGCTGTCAACTGAAGCTCAAAAATCCTCTTGTATTCCACCCATACACACATACACTGAAAAAAAAATAGACCATTCAAACAGCCTAGAGTAAGGTTTCTGAGACAAAAGAACAAAAAGAAATTAAAGAAATAGGTAGATGAAGAACAAAATTGACAATTACCTCAAAAACTAAAGTTTATAAACTTCAACATGTCGATAATATACCAGCCAGATTCAATGAATGTAAGATCATAGGAATTCCCAAAATACCCTTTAAACAAAAGTTTATTCCAGTCGTAAAAAATTTTTAGAACCAACCACTCTTTTTTACCTTCCATGCTCCATAAACAAAACCCAGACCAGTACTTTATTCTTGGAACTGAAACCATCATTAGCAACTTTCAAGACATGGTAAGAAAATAACCTAAAATTCGAAGGACTTTATCCACGTGTATTTCACAATTTCCTTTTTCAGATTATAAAGATCTTAAAAAAACACCCAGAATTCAAGAAACAGTCATATATAACTACATATCAAAACACCCAGAAGTCATTACTCGAATCAAATTCTTGAAAAGTTTCAATTGTTTGTGCATGAAAATACAAAGGGAAATTTATGTTGAGCTTTTTCGTTCTTATAGACCTCGTTATCATCTGAAGTGGAGCAGAAACATTGCGAATAGGGGAAAGACGACTTCATTTTTAAACAACATCCAGAAATTTATAGTTAATTGTGGATGGATCTTGATTGAGTTTTGAAAGACGAAGAAGACTGACAATTTTTCATACGATCAAAACAAATACATCTACCTTTTATAGACAACTTCCTATCCAAGAGGTGAAATTGGGCATGAAGAACTTCAGAAGTGGAGCCGGTAAAGAAAAAACGGAACCGATGATTTAGAGAGAATGAAATTAATATAAAGCATATTCAATGAAACTAACCCGAAGCTTCAGGTCTGACTGATGTTGACTTTGGATAAAAGCAGAGCACAATCCCAACTTTCGTGCAACAAAGGTCCAAGTGACGCTTAAATGGGAGCTGAGTCGCAAAGGAAACAACAAATCAAATTCAAAGAAAAGAGTACATCGGAAGGATTTGGTTAGGGTTAGGAGAAAATACCTGTAATTGACTCATTTGCCCTATCATCTCCGGTCTGAAAATATGAAGAAATAGAGGCATAATCAGTTTCGCCCAAACCGAAACTGCATCTGTTGTCCAATAAAGACCAATCCACATCCAGGTGAAGAAAATTACATACGTTGAAGAAGGAACATGGAGAAGCAGAGATAACGAAGATGGTGGAGCGGGAGTCAAGCTGAAGATGTGAGAAACAATGGAAGAGACGATGGAAATAGGGAGAAAAACTGATGAGGCAAAGAAGCGGTGGGAAGGGGCTCGTGGAAGAAGTTTATTGGACAAAAGATAGGTGTATGGACAGCAAGTCCATTTTTATTGGCCTATACAGGTGGTGGTGCCTTGGTGGAAGATACGTCCCCTACAGACCACATAGAAAAAGAAAAAAAAAAGTTTGATGGTGTCCAATAAGATTATGTTACTGTGCATAAGGGAACTTAAAATTAATACTATTATAAAGTATATATTTTTAAATGTTTTTTTATGTCATTTTATATCTTTCAGGTAGTTTATCAGTTATTTTTTGTTGAAGGTTATTTTCTATCAGGTAGTTTATAAGCTAACAACTAGTTTTTAAGCTAATAGCTAGTTTTTCAACTATCAGCTAACTTTTCAGTTAATACGTCAAGCATAGGTTCAGTCATTTTAATATTATGATTGTTTGTGAGAGTTGTATTAAGTTGTTTCCAGGAGAGGGTTTTGTATGATTCAAACATATAATATATTTGATTTTGATTCAATTAAATTTTATCGGTTAAGAATCTTTTATCGTGATTAGGAAAAACAAGTTGTGGTTAGGCAAAAGGTTGAATTGAAATACGCTTTATGATGGTTACTACAAAAAAAATCCCAACCTTGAGTGTAAGGTAC